GCTGTGTGTGTACCTGTGTCTGTTGTGAGCTGTGTGTGTATCTGTGTGTGTTGATGGATGACTTGTGGTTCATTTTCTTACATTTTCTAACCTCCAGTGATCGTTTCTTCTGGTTTTGATTAGTTAGAGCACTTTGTCTTGCTCTTCTTTTATGAACAGTCCTTGTTAGGAATATTGAGAGAACAGATGTAACCCCCCCCCCCTCTCCTCTCCTCTAACTGTGTGTGTCTGTGCAGACGACAGCGAGGACGAGCGGGAAGTGAGTCGAAAGCGCACGGTGCGCCAGGCGGCCTCCAAGGCCGTGTCCAAACAGAGAGAGATCCTGCTGGGGGACGGGGGCAGCGAGGACGAGGAGCAGGAGGACCCCGAGGAGTCCTACATGGACCGTACGTACCGCCGGACACTCTCGCCGCCACCCAGTGGTGACTAGGGCTGCAACTAACGACTATTTTAATAGTCGACTAGTCACCGACTATTGAAACGATTAGTCGACTAATCGAATAGTTATTCACTTTTTCTTAAAAATAGCATAAAGTTGCTTTAGTTAAGTGGAAAATGATAAACACAAGAAAAATGGGTACTTCAATGAAAAATGCATCTTTTATTCAAATTTGCAGCTGATACAAAACGTAAATAAGAATGCGTTTGTCAGGCACAGTCAGGCATAACGTTAAAGCTCTCTTTTAAAGTGAAAAAACGCTTGGAAAATGTATAACGTACATAAAAGACAAAACATATTAGCATTATTGTTGCTTAAATCTTACCGAGGCGAGTCAGACTCCGTTTCATTTAAGTGCCCAACATGCTTTCTTTTTAAATGCTCATGCATCACCGAGGTGCTGCCGTGATACGCAAGGTCTGTTTTGCAAACCTTGCACGTAATTTTTTTTTACTCGTTGTATCAAGGATAAAATGCTCCCAAACTTTGGAAGTTTTTGTACGCGTGTTGGACGCCGCCATTTCTGTAACCGCGACGCTGTTGTGCAGGTGACTCTGGGCAGATTGTAATTAAGTGAGATGTCTCACTCTGTTGGAAAAACACGTCTGGCGACAATAGTCGACAATGGAATTCATTGTCGACTTTTTCTATTATCGATTTTTGTCGACAACGTCGACGAATCGTTGCAGCCCTAGTGGTGACCAGCGGCGCTCACTGCTCTCTCTTGTTTAGCCGATGAGTCCGGCAGTGACGAGGACTTCCTGGTGGAGGACGACGACGACAGCGACTACGGGCGCTCCAAGAAGAGAAGCAAGAAGGTGATCCGACGGGGGAGGCCCGACAAGAAGGAGAAGAAGAGCCCCAAGCCCAGACTAAAGGCCACAGGTGAGCAGCGGCAGGAGGCCCTCCTATAAGCTGTCGGCTCCATGCCTTGTAGGCTAGGGCTGGGTATTGTTAGGAACCTCACGATTCGATTTCGATTATTGCTGTTGCGATTCGATTCGATATTGATTTAAAGTTGTGAAGACACAAATGATTTAAGATAATGTTGACATTTTTCAAATATTCATTTTCATACAAACTTCTTTAACATCACATTTCTGAGCATAGAAACAAACTTCTTTCTGCAATGTGCTTAAAGCAGAAAACTGTTCTTGATAAACAATAAAAAATAAAGTGCATGTAAAATAAAATTAGGCATAGCTTATCTCTTGAAGTCTCATATAAATAAAAATGCATTTCAATAACATCTGTGCATATTAGTGCAGATTTAAACACGAATCATAGGGTTGTATTCAACTGAATTGCACTGTATTGTACACCTGTACGACTTCCATGAAGGGGCCTGGTCTGAAGCACATTTGACACCAATTCTCACTCGTCCGATATGAAATGAGAAGTGATGGTTACGTAGGGGTCGGTCACTTTCGAGGTCCAGCCATCACACGTCAGAGCAACTCTTTCGGCCGACTTTAACAAGTCCTAAACGGCTGTTTTCACCTCTGTATACAGTGACGGCACAGCGACTTCTGTCATGTATTTAGGTGTTGGTATTGCGTAGCGGGGTTCGAGTATCTTTAGCATATTCTTAAAACCCTTGTTTTCAATAACACTGTACGGTCGTAGGTCCTTGCAAATAAACACGGCTACAGACGGGCAGAGCTTGACGGCAGTTTAGAGATGAATGATTTGTCGATTTGTGTCTGTTTGGAGTCAACAGGTTGTGCTTCAGGTTTTTGTAGCGCATCTGCGTGGTATCTGGTTAAGTGTTTGCGCAGGTTGTACTTTAATTCTCTCTGGCACAGCTTACGTACCACCTTTGCTTTTGTCGACTTCTTGAGTTCCAGATTCAGACGGGAAAGCAAAATGAGCCCAAACATCTGACTTAAAAGTTGAGGGAGTTAGCTTTCTACAGCTGCTAACTGTTGTTGTGCGCTCAGGTGCTCAGCACAGTGACCAAACTCACAGCGCCCCCAACGGGTCAGGAGGGGAATCGATTCTGAGGAGCCCCCTAATCCATTATAAATTCTGCATGAAATTATTGCAATGCATCGATTCTTCAATTATTTGACCCTAGCGTAGGCTGACCCGGCTCTCCCTTTTGCTGCAGTGACGCTCAGCCCCGTGAAAGGAAAGGGCAAAGGTCGCCCCAGCACCAAGAGCTCCGAGAAGAGCTCGCCCAAAGAGGAGGAGGAGGAGGAGCCAGAGAGCCCCCTAGAGGAGGAGGAGGAGGAGGAGGAGGAGGCCAAGAAGGAGACCACCCCTCCCCCCAAGACAAAGAAGGAGGCGGCTGGAGGAGAGGAGGAGGAGGAGGACGAAGAGGAGGAGGACGGCTCAGAAGAGGAGGCGCCCTCTGGAGAAGACTAGAAGATGGCGCCCGCCCGAAGCCCGCTCTCAGCATCTCTCTTCTTAGTGCTTTCTTTTCTTTTTCTCTTTTGTTTTGCTCTGCCTTCAGAGTTGTTTTGTCTTTGTTTTGCTTTGTTTTATTTTTATTTTTTGTGTTTTTTTTTTAATCCCCTCCCGATGGCCTGGCCCAACGGTTTGAAGTACACATGGGCGTAGGTCTGGCCCCCGCCCCGGCTCTGTGTAGGAGGGCTGGACAGCAGCGAGCATCCGTCCCACGTGAGTGTTTACTGACTCTAACTGCAGAGGCCCCAGGTACAGCGCTGCGTTCTCCACACGTGAACGTGCGCACGGCTCAGCCCTCGTGTTTTTGGGGCTTTTAGCGGGCAGCGCTGCGGAACGGTTCTCCTCTCACCCCCTTAGATCCTAAACATGGCGGCCCGGTGGGCTTCATTTTCAAAATGAGTTTTCATTGTGGCTGCATCACCGCCACCTTTTTAGAACTGTCTGTGATTTTTCTTGTTCTTTTTTCTTTTAATGTATGTCTAGGTTGATTTGCCTGTTGAGTTTTTTTATTTCAGCCCCCCCGCTGCCTCCCTGTGTGACACACTCACACACACACACACACACACACACACACACCCCTCTGTCTGAACCACCCCCCCCACTCACCCCCTTGTGCCCGGCGCCTCCTTTTTTTTTTTTTTTTTTTTTTGTTTCTAAGAAATGCAAGAAGAGATGTTTTTTTTTGTCTTTTTGTTTGTTTTGGGTTGTTTTAAGTTTTTCAAAAAAATGAATGTTTTTTTTTTTTTCTCCTGTTGGTTCATTGTTCTAATTCTCTATTCAGATTTTTTTTGTAATGTTTGTTTTTTAAGAAAAAGAAATAAAATGTATCTTGATTTTAAAGAAACTAAGTTGGCCCTATCCAATCTGTTCTGCTCGATGGTTGGATCCTTTTCCCACTTCTTCCCCTCTTTAACTCCATTTCCACGATCCATCATTCCCTCCATCCACACCGGTCAGCCTAAGGGCTGCTGGTGGTCTCCATGTTTGCTCGTTCCAGACTTTACCCACATTAGGATTTCCTAATGGGGTTTTTCTACTAGTTACTAGTCAGCACAACACGGCTTTCTGTGTTTTTGTGTTTTTCGGTTGATTTTTTTCTTGCATTTCCACTCGGGGCTGGCCTCCTTTAGCAGTTCAACTTTAGGGAGCTAATCAGTTTGGGTTCAAATTATTCTACAGAGACTCCTTCATCCGAACCCCACCCATTCAAAAAAAAAGAAAACAAAATGCAACAACGTCCAATTTCCTTATTTCTGTGATCGTCGTAAATGTCGTAAACGTCACGGGTCAGTCTGTTCGGACCTAACCACTTAAACCGAGGTGTGTGAAGCCATTTTCTGGGCTGAGTAGGTTAAAAGAAAAGAAAAAAGCGGGGAAACCCTATGTGGATCCTCTCAGAGTCACAGTTGGCTGAAGCCAGAGGCATTCAGTTCTGTTCATGCCTTAATTTTCAGTTGGGTTTGACTGGAGGTGTGATGTAACTCTTCACCTTTAAAGTCTTCTGACACTAGTCTGAAAACAAATACACAATTTGTATGATCAGCCGACCACCCAAAGCCATAAACGATCTCCGAAATCAGTTACAGCACGTGTGAGATTCCCCTTTTTTCTTCTTTTAGTTGAGAGAAGTGCTGTTTAATGTAAAAAATCTATATGAAAAGACAAAAAAATACAAAAACGACAGTCCCTCTGAGCTGCGTTCTGCACACACAAGCACATCCTGTCCTCACACTGACGGGGCGGGGGGGGGGGGGGGATTTTCTACATTCAGGTTGTGATCTCATCCATAATAGCTTCTTCTGTGTTTTTCTTCTTTTTTTGTTTTAGTTTTTTTCTTGAAGCTTCCCTCCGCTGTACTGGAAATGTGGATGTGTTTCTACAGAGCGAGTGGAGAGGCCTTTTGTCAGCCGTGTGAAAAAGGAACTCTTCATCTTTTTGCATGTTTTTTGGAAAAAGTGCGAAGCCACGATGACGCAGAAACAAAATACGAACGGTGATGTTGATAATGTTTTGGTTTCCCAGCTTCTAATAAAGGCAACCCACTTTTTATACAGATTAACTATTTGTTTTGTTACATTGAGCTCTGTCTGGGTTCTAACTTTCAAATTAAAAGCACACCGTTTATTCCCTCAGGGGGTCGGGGGGGGACTGGAGGTATCCCAGTGGTCAATGGGGGAGAGGCGGGGTCACCCTGGACGGTCCCCAGTCCATCACAGGGCCAAAGCACATATTATACACCATATTTAATGTGAATGAGGTACTGTTATTCATTTAATTAATAAGCTCCCCAACAGATTCTAAAATGCTTTCATGTTTAATGTGACTAATTTAACAGAGCATCTCGGTGACACTCTTCTTTTATATATTTATATATATATATATATATATGGTATGTGTATACACTTAATATTTGTTTTACAAGAGGCCATTTTAAAAAAAACATTGAACACATCATAAATAAATTCACATATTTACAGTGGGGGAAATAAGTATTTGAGCCCTTGCTGATTTTGCAGGTTTGCCCACTTACAAAAGAATGCTTATTTTTCCTCATCAGATGGTTATCAATTTTTATAAATTCATATGATGTGATTTTCTGGAATTTTCTTTGGGATTCTGTCTTTCACTGTTAGAATGTACATATGATTAAAGTTATAGATCGTTGCATTCTTTGTAAGTGGGCAAACCTGCTAAATCAGCAAGGGGTCAAATACTTATTTCCCCCAATGTATAGCTGAGATTACAGGTTAAAAATAGTATTAAGCACATCACAAATTTTCTATGTAAAAATATTACTGAAGGTGCTGTTTACATGAAATTCTCACCAGAGTCAATTCTGTAGACTGCCCTCATTTATGTAAAAGTGAGAAATGACATGGAAAAAAGTATAGAACAGTTGATGAAAAGGAGTTGCAAAAAGTCATAGGAAGTTGTGACCCAGTGGAAGTCATTTCAAAGCAATCCTGCCACTTAGTGCAAATCAGAAGGTTCAGTCCCAACAGAGAGCCCTTAAAAAGGCGTACAGTATGGTGATGGGTAAAACCAGTGACATACAGTGGGGTAAATAAGTATTTGATCCCTTGCTGATTTTGCAGGTTTGCCCACTTACAAAGAACGCTTATTTTTCCTCATCAGATGGTTATCAATTTTTATAAAAATTTTCTTTGGGATTCTGTCTTTCACTGTTAGAATGTACATATGATTAAAGTTATAGATCGTTGCATTCTTTGTAAGTGGGCAAACCTGCAAAATCAGCAAGGGGTCAAATACTTATTTCCCCCACTGTATCTCAAGAGTTTCACAGCCTTTGCACAACACACTGTTCACATTGGTTACAGAGGGAATTTTCAAACTACCAGAGGTTCCAGTGATAATTGTCGGCCATAACCCCGAAGTCAAAGAAAGATCATTTCACCGTAAACAGGCCACAATCTAAATTTCTGAAAAGAGTGGAAAGAATTAGTTGTCATCGAGTTATCCAAGATCCCAAGTAAAGTTTAGCTGTGCTGGAATCTGTGAGAGATTTCAGAGGACCGTAGACACACAGAGAGGCTAATTCCACCTTTAATCCAATGACAACAATTAGCAATTTGACGACCATTTCAATGAGATCAGATCTGTCTTTTTCGATGACTCATGCTTACATTGTAGATTCAAAGGTAGGCTAGTTTTCCTTCTGCATTGCATTCATGCTATCTATGTTTTGTAATTCATATCTAAATATCTTTATTGCAAGTTATTTTTCTCTGTTTTAGTAAGAAAGAAAATGGAGTGAAGGTTTGTACCAAACACTTTCCATCTCCAAACACAGTGAACTGTTGCTGTGGAGCTTTCCCCCAAACGAGTTCATAAAAACACCAAACGCCCAAAGGTTTCTGCTCAATGTGTCAAAAGTGTGTCGTCAACCTTTTTTCCCAAAAGCACAGAGCTGGGAAACGCAGCTCTGGCTGTCAACATGCTGGAGGACTAATCCATCCAGAATTAACTCTTCTTCAGGTGTTTTCCACCTGTGGGCGGACCAACGACATCCCCTAAATGTGAAGAAGTTCCAAAAGAGATACTGGTAAATAATGGTTGAAATAATGGTTAGGTGCTTTATTTGAATCTCCTTTCAAAGATTTTAGTTGATTTTTTTTATATTTACTTAAAAGTATAGCAAAATGATTAGGGTAGATTTAAAGCATTTGAATTTGAAAAGTGTTTGTGGAATAGAGAGCCCATGAGACAAGCTGATGACTACTTAATTTAAGTAAATAACCACTGAGGATGACTTTAGGACGTTCTGACTTTGCTTTTAACAGAAATGTCTGTTTTCTTTAAAGTAAGAAAACAGAGCCAGAGATTTCTTTGACCAGAGCCTCAGATCTGCTACAATAGCTAGGACGTTATAAAGAGCTGGTCGGTTGAGGAATGGTGATCCTGACATCGCCACCAGACGGACAGTCCAGCCTTTTGGACAGACTGTAAAGGACCGTTGAAGTGTTGACCTGTAACCCAAACCAGTGACCCGGACAACAAAGAGGGATCTAGTTCAACTGGGGCGATGGCATGTCATCATACACGACAAAAGAAGTAAAAAAAACTCCTTCCTGCCAAACAGGAAGCCGTCTTAGAACCGGATCAGACTCACCAGTGGCTGCCGGGCAGTTAGGACATCCCCGAGACCGTCCGGACCTCACCGGTCACCCTACCTGTGACAGCTCACACCTGGATGACCTCATGCGAATGGAATAAGTCATCTATGGCAGTGTTTTTCAACCTTTTTTGAGCCAAGGTACATTTTTTCATAGAAAAAATCTCGAGGCACACCACCAACCAAAAACAAATCTGTATCCGCCTATAGTCACACTATAGTTATTCTTATTTTATTCTTATCTTATCTTAAGTGTCTTGAATAGGAATCAAATAAACACAAACATTTATTTTTATCATATTTTATATTTCTTCTTTCAAATTGCCCTTAACATGTCCACTTCAATATGCAAAGTTATATACAAAATCTAGTCATAAGGAATTATTACATGATTACTCCACCAGTCACTAGAACAGCACACACACTCAGAAATGGAATATTATTTGCAGATAATTAAGTCCTTATCAAAAAGTCTTTTTAGACCAATGAGGTGAAATAGGATGATTTTCTACACCTGACCATCACTAACGGCACACTAGTGTACCGAGGACCAGGGGTTGAAAAACACTGATCTATTCAATTCAATTCAATTCAATGTTATTTATATAGCGCCACATCACAACAACAGTCGTCTCACAGCTTTCCAAACAGAGCAGGTCAGACCCTACTCTGAAGTTAACTACAGAAACCCAACAATTCCCACCGTGAGCAAGCACTAGGCGACACAGGCAAGGAAAAACTTCC